ATATTTTTGTGAAATCCATCCACGTAGATACAGTTTCTGTATTTTCATTGCTGGTTCGTATCCACATTTTATTTAACTATTCACTGTTGATAGATCTTTGGGTTGTTTTGAGTTTGGAGTTATTATTAGCAATGCTGCTTTGGTCATTTTTGTACTGCTTCCCAAATGTTTGTGTGCATTAACTGGGAGTAAAGTTACTGACGTGCTGTGTATACATGTTTAGATTTTTTAATGATAACAATTATTCAAAATGGCCAAATCAATTTATACCATCTATAAAGTTCGTGAAAGTTCCCATTGATTCACTTCTGCTATACTTGGCATTGTGTGACTTTAGTTTTTGCAAAACTGGTAGATATGTAGTGGTATCTTATTACAGTTTTTTTTCCCTAATTGTTAATGAAGTTGTTGAATATTTTTAATATGTTTGTTATTTGTCTAGCTTTTTTTTGGTCTTTTTGTCTTTTTGAGACGGGGTCTCACTATGCAGTTCAGGCTGACCTTGAGCTCACTTTGTAGTCCAGGCTGGTCTCGAACTTGCAGTGATCTTCCTGCCTCAGCCTCCCAAGTGCTGGGATTACAGGCATGCACCACCACGCTTGTCTAGCTTTTTGTTTTCTATTAATCTGTCCTTTTTTTTATGTCCAGTACTGGGGATTGAACTGAACCCAGGGCCTTTACATTGAGCTGAATCCCCACTCTTTTTATTTTGTATTTTGACACAGAATCTTGCTAAATTGCTAGATTACCCAAACTAGACTTGAATTTGTAATCCTTCTGCCTCTGCTTCCCAGAGTAGTCTGTGTGCTTTTCTGTATTGAAATATCTTGTCATATTTTGTGGTTTTCCTTTCACTATTTCTTTTAGACAAGGTCTAGCTATGTAGTTCAGGCTAGCCTTGAACTCACTATGTAACCCAGGCTGACATCGAACTCCTACCAATCCTTCTGCCTCAGCCTCCCAAGTGCTGGGATTATAGGTATGTACTACCACGCCTGGCTGCCTTTCACTCCTTTTCATGGTGGCTTTTCAGAAAGTCTTAACTTTATTTATTTTAATTTTAAAGAGAGTAGTAAATAAGAAAAAAAAAGAACAATAGCAGCATACCAACATCACAAACATAAACAAAACAAAGCAAGAACATTAAAAGTGATACAGGGTTTTAAGAAAAATGATAGGAGTTAACAGTGGTTGTTATATTACATATTGTTATCTTCAAGTACGTTGCTCAGATTACCAGATATAAGAATGAAAGATTGTTCAAACCATTAAAGAGAATGAACAAATAATTATTAGATAAAACATTAACAAACTCATAAGTGAAATAAATCAAACCCACATGTGTAAACATCATATTGTCTCCCTGTTGTAGGAAACTGAAAGAATAAGTGAAAACATACAATAGATGATAGGAAAGGGAAAGAAACTGCTCAAAGGGAGGAACAACTGGAATTCTTAACTTTAATGTAACTGGATTTATCAAATTTTCCTTTAAAATTGTTAATTAAGAAAAATCTTTGAAAAAAATTCTTCACTACCCTCAGGGCTGTGGAGATATTTTTCCTTTGTTGTATCCTTAGAGTAATTTCTTGCCGTTCACACTTAGAACTTTAGTCAGGCATGGTGGCGCATGCCTGAAATCCCAGCACTCAAGAGGCTGAGGTAGGAGCATCGCCATGAGTTCGAGACCAGCCTGGGCTACACTGTCTCAAACAACGACGACGACAACAGCAACAACAGTAACCGCCACCCATTACCGCACTTAGAACTTTACTGCACTTAGAATTGGTTCCCAGAACTGGCTCATTGATGAACTGAACTGCGTAATTAGCTGATTGTCTTCTAAAAAGTTTTTTTTTGGAATAATATGTGTTTGCAGTACATAATGTTTACGTTCTTCGTGTGGAGTCGTTACAGATACGTAACACACCTCAGTTCCTTTACGCACACTTCCTTTCCCTCCCATTTGCCCTCTCCATCTCTTGATCCCCCTCCCATTTGGAAAGATCTATCTTCATGCTTCCATATTCTCTTTATTTCCCTTTTTATTTATATTTTGGGTCTCTCATATGTGAGAAACCATGTGATATTTAGGTTTGTGTGTCTGATTTATTCCCTTAACATTATTGTTTCAAGGTACATCCATTTTCCTGTAGATGACTCAATTTATCTTTCTGACAGCAGAGCAATACTCTATTGTGGGTTAATACCGCATTTTGTTGTCCATTCGTGTGTTAATGGACATATAGGCTGCTTCCAAGATTTAGCTCTTATGAATTGAGCTGTTAAAAACACAGGTATGCATGTATCACTGCAACGATGTCTTTAACTCTTTTGGGAAAATACCTTCAAGGGGAATAGCTTGGTTAAAGGGAATTTCTAGTTTTAGTTTATTGTCCATACTGATTTCCAGAGTGGTTGAATTAGTTCACGTTCCCACCAGCAATGTAGAAGGGTCCCTTTTCCCCTGCAGCCTTGCCAGCATTTGTTATTATTTGATTGCTTGATGATAGCCATTCTTTCTGGGGAAAGATGAAATCTCAGTGTTGTTTTAATTTTCATTTCTTTGATGCTCAACAATGTTAAGAATTTCTTTGTATATTTATTAGCCACTTATATTTTTTCTGTGAAGTGTTGGTTCATTTCACTTCTCTGTTTATTTTTGACTGTCTTTATTTTGGGGAGTCTAAGTTTTTGATTTCTTTATATATTCTAGATATTAGTCCTCTGTCTGAGGAACAGGTGGCAAATATTTTTTCCCGTGCTGTGTTACCTGTATACTTTGTACTGAAATGCAATATCAACTCTGTCATTTGTCAACTGGCTACTGAAGCATAGATCCACATTCTCCTCTATAGCTCACTGTGGCAAGACAACATTGTTAATTACAATAACTTTACAATAAATTTGATAACTGGTAGGGCGAGTTCCTGGTTTCTTTCCTCACCAGTGTCATAGTTTTTATTGGCCCCTTGCACTTTCATTTACACTTAGAATGGACCGCCAAATTCCACTGAGCTGCATCTCCAGTCCTTGACAGCTTACACTGAATGCTTATTCTTTTCCATCATAGCTCTGAATGCTTTCACCCTCACAAAACTTTATACGGTTGGTACTATCTTTATTTTAACTTTATAGTTGGTAAATTGTTGTGCAGGGAGGTTGGGTAACTTGTGTTCAAGGCCATGTAATGTATTAAACAGTTGAAATATGAGTGCAGGAGTTAAGGCTACAGGCTCTGGGTACGCTGTACGCTGCCTTCCCCAGGTTATTCTGCACAAGATGGACACAGTTGTTTTCATGCCTGAGGGAAGAACACTTGCACTGTTTTCATTTTACACCTTTGGTTTTGGAAAGATTTCAAACCTGCAGAGAATTTGTAAGATAAGGACAGTGAGCACTCTGTCTAGGCATTTAAATCTTTCACTTCTCTATTTCTCTGGCTTTGAGCCCTTTGCAGACATCCTAGTACCTCAAACTTAAATATTTCTCCTTACATCTCCTAAGAACAAAGGCGTTTACTTATTTTTTGTCCACTCATTATCAATTTATGTCATTATCCAATTATCCTTTAAAGCTTTATTTTTTAAAATACAGGATGAAATAAAAGATGAGCCATTACATTTAGTCGTTACACATTTTTTGGCTCTAGTTTAGAAATTTAGAACAGTTTCCTCCTGTCTCCTCCTCCTTTCCTCCCTCCCTCCCTCTCTTCCTTCCTTCCTTCCTTTCTTCCTTCCTTCCTTCCTTCCTTCCTTCCTTCCTTCCTTCCTTCCTCCTCTCTCCTTCCCTCCCTTCCCCTCCTCTTTCTTTCTTTCTTTTATAACATTGCCTTTTAAAAAAGTTCAGGTCAGTTGTTTTTGCAGAATTTCCCTCTGTTTTTATTTGTCCAATTGCTTCCTTAGGATTCAGTTCAGGTCAAATGTTTTCTGAGTTTTTGTTGTTGGTACTGGGAATTGAACTCAGGACCTTGTGCTTGCCAGGCAGGCTCTTGTGCCACTGAACTATGTCCCCGCCCCTAGGTCAAATGTTTTGAACAGGAGCAGCACACAGATGATTTGGTGGTCAGGGAATCACATCATGGGGTGCATGTCAGTCCTCCTCACTACCAGAAATGTTAAAATCAATTGTTGGATTAAGGCAGTTTCTGCCAGATTTTTCTATGGTAAAAGTTCCTTGTTCCTTTCAAATTAGTAATTAATACATCAGGTGAAATCTGGGGACTATGCAAATATTTATTCCTAAATAATCTTTCACTTACTACCTCTAGAACCCGCAGAGGGATTTATTGAATCTGTTATTGCTGTAGTGATTGCAAAATAAGGATTTTCTGTCTCCATGATGCTTCTGCATTTATTGGTTGGAATTTCTCTAGAAAGAATAATTTGTTCCCACCTTGACTTTTTGTCTTTTGGTGATGTGAAGACAAACTTCGTGGGTACTTCCATTGGTGCTCGTTCTGATGAATGCACTGACGGCTGCCTCCTCATCTTCTGACATATGTTGCTGGTTTTGCCTACTGTCTTACTTCCTGGCAAGGCCGTATTTCTCTACAAGATGTTCCAGGTTCTTGGAAAGCCTGCACAGGGTGATCAGAAACTATAGTAAATGCTTAAGTTTTTAAAAGGTGTATTACAGTAAAACACATATTACCATGAATTCTCCCTCAAAATACCCCCTCTTGCTTTCAACACCCTTATTTCATCATTCTTACCACTTTTGAAGCAGTTCTGGAAATCCTTTTTTATCTTTAGTTGCTATCATGGCTTCTATGAAGATGTCCCCGCAAAGCCTCATGTGCCCATAGGTGGGGCTTTTTGGAGACAGCTGAATCTGGGGTGTGTGGATATAGATTAAGGGTGTGTGATATCTGGATTAGCTCCCTAGCTGGTTTAGCATAGCTCTGGGTGTGGTCAAGTGGTTTTACTGAAGAGGGAAGTCCCGCTCTGGCTGTGGGTGGCACCAGTCAATAGGTTAGTAGCCTAGATATAAAGAGGGCAGGCTTGCTAGTTACTGCTTTCTGTCTGCCCTCCCATGGACTGTTTTCCTCTGTGATGCCTCTCTGTTGTGCCACCCTGCCTTGGAATCAATCAACTATGGGCTGAAACCTCCACCAACTATGAGGTAAAATAAACTTCCTCCTTTAATTTGTGGGTGTTGGGTATTTTCTCCCAGCAATGAGAAAGTAACTAAGATAGCTCTGCTGTTGTGGCTGCCCTGATGTTCTGAACTGATTCAAAATATTTAGGTTTCTTGGTCATTGTGACTTTGGGGAAGAGCCAGAAGTCTCACAGTGCCACGGCAGGTGAATAAGGATTATGAGGACTCACTTTACGAGCCTGCCTTTCTGTGGGATGGTACTCAGCAGTGGCGTTCACCATAGTTTTGATCATTCCTAGTACAAATACTCATGAAAGGAACATCAGAATATACTCAAAAAGAAGACTACATAAAAGAAGACTTCTAGAACGAGAGGATAAACGTGTTCAAAGTGATGAGAAATGTTTTAAGGGGGTTAATGGCAATATGTCTTCTACTATTTCATTGTATAGAATGTCTTTATTAGTTTATTAGTTTTAATAGTCATACAGATTTTTAAAAGTTTACTAATTCAGTATAATTTTGTATCACAACTCATGTCCAGTGTCTTACATATTCTGCTTTTACACATTTCCCACCATAGATTCAGATCTCTTCACTTTCTTCCTTCATCTTCCTAATTTTTCTTAGTTCTTCTCAGTTTTCCCATTTACTTCAGACATTGTGCTGCTGTTACTGAACAGTTCAGAATACTTCTATTTTCTCACTATTGAAATAAGTAAGAAATAACTAATTGCCTAACAATAAATAAAAAGGATAAATTACTAAAATCAATTGTCAAGTAAAATCTAACTAAGACAAAACATATTGTACATATATATGTGTGTATATATGTGGTGTGTACCTCCTTTACTATTAAGGTTACTAGTGCATATTGGTTATACAGATTAAAGGACTTCATTCTGGCAATGTATGTGTGCATGTAACAAAGTTTGATCATTTCACCCTCTAACCCTTGCTCTTTTCCTCTTGTCTAATACTCCAACTTTTATTTCATGTTCTGTCTTTCTTTGTTTCCACAGATGAGAAAAGAGATGTAACATTTATCTTTTTTAGTCTGGCTTATTTCACTTAATTTGATGATCTCCAGTCCCATCTTTTTGCCTGCAAATGACATGATTTTGCTCAACTTTCTAGATGAATACTCTCCCACTATGTGTATATCTCACATTTTGTTTATCCATTTGCCTGTTGACAGGTACCTATGCTGATTCCATAGTAGAACTAGTCTGCATTGGGCTGCACCATGGGTATACAGGTAAGACTAAGATTTCTTTTAACTTAAGAATCATGGGGTTTGTTTTCTCCAGCTTTTGGTTTTGAGAAACAGGGAAAGGAGAGAGCTTCCATTTTTTCTTTGTAAGCTTCTTTGTTATATATTTCACAATGAGGTCATATTGGTTTTACAACTAAACAGCTAACAAAGATTTTAAACCTTGACCCTCTCAAAACAAATTGTATCCTATCTCAAAATTATTTCCAGAGGATTTAAAGAGAAAAATGTAAAAGTTAAATCTCTAGGCAAAAATAGAAATACCCATCAATTAAAATTAAGTGAAAAAAATAAAAATAAGAAAGCTTCAAGAATTTTGTACTTTCACATAGAAACCAAAAGCCACCCTGTGCTTCTGTACAGTTTTAGTGTTCTGTTAGTTTTGATAAAGGAAGTTAAATCAGTAGTTAGGTTTTCAAAAGAGTTCCAAAACCAAAATGAAAATGTCCTTTTGGCCTACTGCATTAGAACATCTTTGCTTGGGTTTTTGAAAATCAGACAGAAGGGAAGGGGTACTAGAATGGAGTCAAATAGGAAAGGATGAGGGGAGATGGCTGTCAGAGAGACTGCAGCTTGGCAGGAAAAGGCAGAAGAACATGTCTGGAACATTTCTTACTATGCTGCTCATAGACTCTTCCCTTTCTGTCTGGCCACAGGCAAGAGCTCCAGAGAAGACAGGAATAGAGCAATCATTTGAAAAAGGAAGTTCTGGGCCGCCAACCACCTGGTCAGGCTGATTAATCTGCATCAGAGGGGGGAGACAGTGGTAAGGAGAAAAGTACTGTGGCTCTTGGCCCTAACCTTGGGAGGAACTTGAAAGAAGACCTACGATGTGTTGTGGAGGAACCAGTCCTGGGGAAGCTGATCAGATGTCAAGCAAGGAGCCATACTAACAGGAAAGGAAAAGTTTGACAAGAGCTTAGCTGCTCAAATTTCTTTCACTGTTGTGCGTTTTTCCAGTTTAAGCTCATATTTGGAAATACTGATTCATCTTTGTACTTAGACTGTTTTTTCTTGCTCAGTTGAAGAGCTCTATTTTGTGGTGGGGATGGTTTTTTTTAAGCATTATTGAATGGAATAATGTGCTAACATCATCCCAGTAAGCTGCACCTGTGAGTGGCCTCATGTTGAAAGTCATGATTTCATTTTTCATTGCATCCTTTGTTGTCTGAAGTTTGTATCTATCTTCTCAGGTCTGCTGTCTGCTAACTTCTGTAACACCCAGAGGCTGGTCACTGCTGAGCAGCTTGTCTAGCTTGAATTATAGAAGTCCCTCCTTCTATCGTGCCCACTCACTTTCCAGTGTGACCTCTGGCTTAGGTGCTTATGCAGTCAGTCCTCTCTGCCTGAGCATATAATGCTAAGTTTCAGGTTGTGTTAGACTTTGAGAAGTTCAAAATTCACATGCTGCATTCTGCCCTTCTTTTTTGTTTTTCTTTTTGTTTTAAGGTATTTCCTGCACACTTGAGTAGCTTTTTGTATTTACAGTGCAGCTTGGTTAAGGAAAGGTGGAGTTCCTGAACTTTATTCTCTCCTTGTCTGGCTGACAGGACCTGTAGATAATTAATTGCTGCTTCCTGTTGTCAGTTTGATTTTTTTTTCCCTGCAGCTAGGGCTACTAATCAGCATATGAACAATATTATCTAAATTTATATAATATGTGAGTGATCTACTTTCTCTGTATCCTTGCCCACATTTGGTATTGTCATTATTTTTATTTTAGCTGTTCTGACAGATATGCAATAGTACCTCCCTGTGGTTTTAATTTGTGTTTCCCTGATAACTAATGATGCTGGACATCTTTTTTGGTACTTATCATCTGTATATCTTCTGTGAAACATCTATTCATATCTCTTGCCTATCTTGTTGGATTATCCCTGTTGTGTTTTGAAAATTCTTTATATTTTAGATACTAGCCCTTTGATTGATGTATGATATGCAAATATTTTCTCTGTTCTGTAGCTTGCCTTCCTTTACTTTTTTTTTTGGTACCTGGAACTGAACACATGACCTTGCGCTTACCAGGCAGTCGTTGTGTTGCTGAGCTATATCCCTAACCCTTCCGTTCCTTGTCAGGTGGGTTTTGTTTGTTTTTGTTTTTACAAAGCAAACATTTTAAATTTTATGAGGTTCAATTAATCATTTTTTAAAAAAATCCATTGTCCTTTGGTGTAAAGTGTAAGAACTCTTGACCTTACTTTTTACATACTGAAGATTTTCCTCTATGTGTAGACTTGTATCTTGTACTAAATATGCAGACTTTTCAACTATTATTTCTTTAAATACTTTTTCAGCTAAACTTTACTTGGCTGCAATGATATGAATGTCAGATCTGTCATTATTTTCCCACAGTAGTTGTCTCAAGTGCACTGTTTCTCTTTTCTGTCATCTCTGCTTTGCTACAGAGCCCACTGCAGTGAACATTTTTTCCTTTTACAAATTCCTCTTACAATATTTTTTCAGTTTGTTATGGTTTAGATCTAAAAATGTCCCCCAGAAGTCTCACATATTCAGAGGTAGGGCTTCGAGACAGCAATTGGATCTGACATCATCAGTGTGTTAATCCACTCTTCGCATCATAATTTGACAGCATTACAGAGAAGTGATGGAAACAGGATACGGGTCTTTGTTGAAGGGAATGATTCATGGAAGCATGACCTTGGGGACTCTTTTGGGTCTTGACCCATTAATTTCTAGACACTGTCTAGCTCTCTCCCTCTTTCTGTGCTTCTTGGCTGCCACAAGGTGAGCAATGCTCCTGCTCGACGCCCCTCCTTCGTGATGCTCTTACCTTGGAGTTAGCCAGTCATGTACTGAAGCCTCTGATACCACGAGCCAAAATAAACCTTTCCTCCTATAAACTTTTTCTCAGGCACTTCATCATAGCAACAAAAAGTGAACAGGCAATTCTATAATTTCTTCTGTTTCTTTGCTGAGATTTTTCCATTTTTAAAAATTTGCCTCAAGAGAATTTATGGACAGTTGTAGTATTTTTATGATGCCTGCTTAAAATCCTTGCCAGAGGGGCTGGGAATTTAGCTCAGCGGCAAAAGCTCCTGCCTGGCAAGTGCAAGGTCATGAGTTGGTTTCCAGGTACTGGAGAAAAACTAAAAAAAAAAAAAAAAAATCCTTGCCAGATAGCTCCTACCTCTGATTTTCTTGGGGCTGGCATCAGTTGATTATCTTATTTTATTCAAGTTGTCATTTTCTTGGATTGACAGTAATTTTTCAACTGTATCACGGACATTTTGTCGATTATGTTAGGAGACTCTGGGTTCCATTTGCATCTTTTGCTTTAGCAGGCATTTATCCTAGTCAGGGTTAGCACACAGGTTTTGACCTAATTTGGGGGCTGTAGCTCCAATGACAGTTTAACTTCCAAAGCCTGTGCATTATTACTTCAGCCTGCCTGGTTGATTAGGTGTCCTTGGGCTCCCCCTGCCTCCTGCTTATGCTGATGGGAAGGAATGGGAGTGTGGTCCCCAGGCCTGAGGGTAGGTGATTCATAGTATTTTGGTTGCTTTCCCCTGTTCATGCCCCTGACTGCTTTAGTGTCTCCAGGCACAGGGCAACCTTGTGGCTGTGAAATAAAGAGGCCTTCTGACTGGGCTGCATGTATAGTGAGGTCTTTCCTGCCAGTTCTGCCCACCTGCAAGTGTTTCTTAGCAAGAAAGGGGAGTGCCAGGCCCTGTGGGGAAGGACAGGAGCTCCCCTCACTTCTATGCACCCAGTTAATACAAGCCTGTGGAGTGTGGGTGGTCTGATGTTGTCAGAGGGCTTCCAGATCCTTCGGAGAGGAAGGAACTTGCTCTGCTGACCTTCACTGTCAGGTTTATGGATTAGACATTGACAGGCCTGGGTGACCTTTTTGTATTGGGTGGGTGGATGCAAGATGCCCTGCCATTGACCTCTTCTTTCCCCAGAGTCCCAAACCAATTCGTCCAGGCTGGATGTCTCTGTGTGTGTTGTCTTCTGCTGTCCCGCTTGAGAAGTTGAATGGGGTAGGGGAACAGAAAGCTATGTTATGCAGCAGTTAAAATCATGGAAGTTACTCCTTATTGGTTTAGAATCTGATAATTTACTTGTAAGTTTATTAGATTGGTTCTTTATTTGTCTCAAAATATCTTCCACAGCCCCCTTTTCCCCTTGCACAAGTTTGAACAACTAGAACACTATTCTTTGGGCTCACAGTACCCCAGAACACCACAGGATGTGTGAGCTGAACAGTGAGAATTATTCTTTCTCCCTGGTCCCACTTCATCTTTGTCTGCATCTTTTCCAAGCTGCATGCAGTGTGTCTAGGAAACAGCAGGAATTTCAGGACTTACCTATCACCAAACTAAAGTAACTGCAAACTTCATACTTGGAAGCCACATACAGGGATAAGTCATCAATACTTACCCTCTGAATGAGTGACTCAGTTGCCACTTATATTTTTATTTTCTTTTATTTATTAATTTTTTTACTTTAAAGATAAAAGAACATAAACATATTAACAGACACACAACACAAAAACAATACAAGCAATACAGAATTTCAGACAAGGTGATAGGAAATTAACAATGGTGGTTGTATTACATATTGATATCTTCAAATTGGTTACTCAGATAAACAAATATAGGGATGTAGGAGAAAAAGAAAGAAGGGAAAATATGTATTATGTATAGACAGGATAGCTAAGATAGTTGTACTACTGATTTCTACTACTTTATTGAGACAAACAGTTAATGTTTAATTATTTGATCAATCTTATGTTTCTATTTTCTTAATGTAGCTGAATCTGGTCCCCCCCAGTGGAAATGATCTTTTATTCACTATTCAGTTCTCATGAGCTGGAACTTGGTCGTATGCTTTGGCTGTCTGTTTCCATCATTTCCTGTATTTCTCTTCATGCAACAGGAATCTACAAGTTCAGTTCATCAAACTTCTCATGAATGGTGAAGGTCGAATAGATGGCAGGATAGAAAACAGCTGGTTTAGGAATACGTAGCAGGACCATGCTTCAAATCGGCAGTCAGTAAAACCGACAGTTGAAGAAGCTACAGTTCCCACCTGCCAACCCTTCATCCTCAGGGTGCCTTGAGGGTTCCTTTGCAGTTTAATACATATGTAGCACAAGAGTGAGATTCACATAATTGTCACCAAAGACTCTAAAACTAGTTAACCTACACATGAACTTATTCAGCTTCCTAGGGGCTCCTATTCCACCTCAAGCAGATGCTCCCGGCAAACACATAAGACTTCGTTTCAGCTCTGGGCTACCGCCCTGGCATTCAGTGCAGCCATGCCTTTGAAATGACCCATCTCTAAGTACATCAGCTCCTATCCTAGGACGCAAGCACATTGCCGTTACTGCTTTTCCACTCATGCTTCTTATCCATGCTAGGCCTATAAGCAATGTGCAAAGAAAACAGTGCTCATTTTCCTATCTATTTTCTGTTCAGCTCCTAGCAGTGCCTGATATTAACACAACAGAAGTTATTATTTAATAATTAAGTATTCCAGACCCGAGTGGGAGTGAGGAGGAGTCAAAAGTGTGAAAGAACTGAATATGTCCCCAAGAATTTACAACTTTGGTGAGGAAGATTAATGGGTAAATAACTGACAGTAGTGTAAGTCATTAAATAAATACTAGGAAGAGATTAAAGTGATCAGACCTGATAATCTCCAATGGAGGGAAGTTAATTGCTATTTATGGGATCAAGGGAGGCTTTTTAAAGGAAGTGGCTTTCAGCTGCAAGCGGGAATAACATGCTCTAGCATTTG